TGGACTCATGATTCAAGAGTTGTTGTTGTTGATCCAACACAGCCAGAGATCAGGTTGGGCTGTTAGTGTGCAGCTTATTATTGCTCTTTAATGTACAACAGACACATTGTTTTAACTAAAGTAGCAAGATAATATCAGACTGATGAAAACTGTTATTTGGCACCTGATTTAAATACAAGATCATTTTTAAATAGACAGCAAATATTATTATGAAGTTATTTTTATTAAATTTTGATAACATTTAATACAAACTTCTGTAGATCCACAACAATATATTTTATTAAGCATGTAATAAACAAAATGTCCTATTTCTTTATTTGTAGAATATATTTTATTTTAACAAAAAATGAGCAGCTTTTTATTTGTTTACAGAAGAATAGAGAATCAGCTGCTATGACATTTAGTTGGAAATAAAAACATTCAACATAATTATCACAATGACACATCAAGTCAACACAGAAATAAAGACCTGACAAAAAGCAAGTCATGTAAAAACTTTGAATTGAGTTGAACTGAATGTTTCTGTTACATTTGATGATAAATGCTGAGGATAAAAACCTAAATACATTTGAATGAAGTCTGAGAAAAACTCAAGATAAAACCCAGAACTAGATGTTTGTAAACCCTAAATCCTTATGAATGTAACAAAATAATAAAAAGGGGAAGAATAAATGACATTTCAATGAAAGCAAAATGTAATGACATTGAATATGCTTTATTTAATAACATTCCTGCACCCACAGAGCAAAAATAATCAAGACAAAAGTAATTGGACATCAATCTTAATTCAATTCAAGTTTATTGTTCTAGCACTAACTCATAGCAAATGTAATCTCAACCAGATCCATTTAATATACAGAAATACATAATCAGTTCAACCACATCAGATTTAAAATTAAATAAATTAAATAAATTCTAATTCTGCGTTCAGATTGGTATTTAATTTGGTGAAACTTTTTCTATCTAAGGAAACTCAGTAAATGCATCCAGTGATTGACTTTGCAGCAATGACCCACTGAATGATGTCATGATAATGGAGAATTGATCGCATTGAGTCGTTAACAATGAACAATAAATTTGTACTGAAACTCTCCAATTATCCATATAATGTGGAAACAAAACATTCAATCTTTCAACAAGAGTGTAAATATTTTCAGACAAGATATGTTGCAAACAAAAGTTAATAAAATAATAGAATAACAAAATGCTAAAATTATAAATGATCAATGAAGAAATAAGGAGCTGCAGTAAATTAGACTGAAGTTGTTTAATTTGGCTTTTGTTAAAGAGGTGAGTCAAATGTGTGAATTTGGCCTTTCAAGAAAAGGACAAAAAATTCTACATGCAAAAACCAATTGTGTTCTTACAACTAAACATGAATTATGAATTCACTTGATGTTGAATGATTTCTTGAGGCTTTCTACTGCCTGATCTTCTGTGATTTTCTTCCAACCATCAGGAATGTCAGCAGGCTTTGCATTATATGCTTCAGCAAATTCCTTGTTGTATTTGTTCATCACATATTTCCAATAATCTGACGCCTCAAGGCTCACATCTGGAGGAATATTCCAGTCTGGGTAATCTCCCTATATTCTTTGTAAGGATGCCATTCATTCTTTGTGTCACTGCAGCTAAAACGTTTTCACTGCTAACAAGAGAAGAGCAGATGTCAGTCGTGAGTTTCTTGAGGTTTCCCACCTGTACCAACCTAATCCATTTGGTCGATGCAAAGAAGCAAAGTGTTGAGTGTGTTTTTCTCCACCTGCATCACAAGGTATTTCGCAAAATGGACACTGTTTGCCACAACCAATCACTCTGTTGAAAAACTCATTCTCTGGTTTCATATGGAGATTTGAGAGTTTTGTTTCAAACTTTGTGTTTTTAAACTTTTCTCTAAGAGTTTCTTTCATTTCCTCCACACACATGTTGAGCCAGTGAGCAAACTGTTCCTGGTCAGATTTGTTCAGAACCATGAAGGCATCAAGAGCATCCTGGGAAATTACCAGTTTGTCACCAAGTTCTGTGCAGATCTTGACAACTAATGTCTTCAGACTGTCAGTGTTTTCTGTTTTTGCCTTTTTAATGGCATCATTTATGTGGTCGATGCAAAACTTAAGATGTTTGTCCTCAAACTCACAAACTGTCTCCCCAGAGGAGAAATACTCCTTAATTCTTTTAGATGTCCATAATTTTACATAATCTTCATATAAACAAATGTACTCCTCAAAGTTGTTGAAGTCACTTTTAGAAATCAGATCCAGTAAAATGTAATACTGGAAGGACATTCGTGTGCTGAACTCCTCTTTTGTCATCATTTTATCAACAATATCAGGACCAAGAGAAGAATAGATGAAGTTTTCAACAGCAGGTTTCAGACACTGATTAGTGAATTCTTCAGCTTTTTTCTGGCATTGATCTCGTTTGTGGAAAACATCTTTGAAATCTGTGCAAAACCTTTCTTTGTTTTTCTGCAGACATTTATAAGGATCATTTTCTTGGATAAAATCTTCATGCATTCTGAAACTTTCTGGCTGCAGATCCACAGATGTGTTGTTTCAGAGACACTTCAAACTCAATGTCTGTGTCAACATCAGCTTTATTCAGCCTCTCGTCAATGATGTGAAGAATCTCCTGGATGTAAGTATCATGATAGTTAGTTTTTCTTTTGATTTTATCGGTAATAGAGTCATTGCAAGCAGAGATGATGCTGTCAGCCAATTCTCTTTCCGTTTTATGATTTGTATTTACTTGGCTTCTCCATCCCTTTTCTGTGTATGTAAAAGGCTCCAGTCCACAGTCTTGGAGGCTTTTCTTACTCAGCAGTTCACATGCATGGCTTCCCTTGGGTGAAAGATTTCTTTGTAACTGATGGGAAACACTGATGAAGATATCTGAAGTTTGTTGTTCAAGCAAAGACAAACTGTTCATTATTTCAGTCCACATCTTATTAAAACTTTCATCAAGCTCTCTGTCAGTCATTTGAACTTTTTTCTTACGACATTCATCAATTAAATCACAAACTGCTTTCTCAATTCTTTCTCTAAAAGTGGCCTTGATATTGTCAAGTTCTTTCAATCCCTTCTTAATATCAGCAGCTGCTGTGATCTGGTTGAACATTGATCTTTCAGTTTCTCGTCGAAGACTCTTGATGCTGTTGGAGAAATCCTCTCTGTATCCTTCAACCAGATAAACATGACCTTCTGGCTGCTCAAAGTATTTCTTCAGGTTTTCAAGGATCTTTGTCTCCCACTTGATCAGCTCTGTGGTTGCTTCACTTTTCAACACAATGATGAATTCATTCATGTCAGATATTTCAGATGTTGCAGTAAATGAACCAAAATTGGAAATTCTTGTCTCTGCTTTGGTAACCCAGGTGTACATTTCCTTTTTGAACTCCCACTCCCATTGGTTGTACTCTGTGCAGAGCCTCATGTAAGCATCAGCCACCAGGCTGTTTCTGAAGCTGTAGATGAAGTTTTCATGTTTTACTGCGTTCCACAGGCTGGTTATCCACTCTCTGAACTCCAAGATGTCATTAGAAGTTGCCACACTTTCCCAGCTGTTGGATGATGTTTTTCTTGAGTTCATAGACAGTCTCACTGTATCCTGCATTGACTGGAGCCATTGGTGGGTTTCCATTCCAGAGTCCAGGAATGTAGCAGTTCCCAGTGTCTGGATTATACTCCATCACATCAGTGAAGCTCTTGTATTCATTTTTCTTCTCCATTCTAGCTGCTACCTGGGTCATCTCATCCAGCTGTTCTAACAGCAGCTTCCTGTCTCTCAGGTTCTTCTCATGGGCTGAAACATCAGAAACGTTCTGGTGAACAAACTGACATTGAGGCTTTTTGCCACCGACCTCCTTCATCCTGAGGAAAGCATGCACCACTATCTGCAGGATGTCTTTCATCTCTGTTGAATTCTCCATGGCAATATTGATAATGGTGATGTCACTCAGCCCAACAACAAGTGTTGCCAGCTCATTGTCGTGCTCATAGCTGTTGTCCAGCTGTGCTAGCTCTGGTGACTTTAAGCCTTCAGTGTCGATGATCATCATGAAGTCACAGTTGAGAACTTTCTTCAAGTCTTCATTGACTTTGATGAGCAGCATGAAGGCACCTCTAGTGCATCGACCACTGCTGACTGCAAACTGGACTCCAAACATGGTGTTAAGGAGAGTGGACTTCCCTGTGCTCTGAACTCCAAGAACTGTGACGACCCGTATCTTGTTGTTTGGAGACACCAAGTCATTGAGCTGAGAGAGAACATCACTCACCCATCTGAGAGGAATGTTGGAAGCATCTCCATCTACAAGCTCAATAGGAAATCCATCCAGCAACAACTGAGCACAGAGTTTGGGCAGATGTTGCAGTTGTTGACGTGATGGATCTGTTTGTGGAAGGTAAAGAGAAGCTTCATAGATCTGACCCATTTCACGGAAGAAGTGCTCAACTCCCAGTGAGCTGCTGGAAAGTTGTTGATCAATTTTTTTTATCTCTTCTTTGTTCTCAGAATCTTTGGATTTTCCTTGTAAAGCTCCCTGAGGCCAGAAAGTTTGATTCGAGACAAGTTGTCAAGGTTCATTCTCATCCATTTCAGAAAGTAACATCTCTCTCTTTGTTGGCTGGATATTGCACTAATGAAGCAGGTCATTGCTTTGGACATTGCAGAATCATTTTGTTTTTTTCTCAGTTTTTTTATGTCGCTCTGAAGTTTGCATTTGTAATTTTCAATGTTTTCTGAACCAACTTTTCGAAGATGAAATTCTTCCTTTTCCAAACAAGTCAATTCCTTCCATATTTGACCCTGTAACAGAAGTTGATCTTCTTTGTATTTCATTATGTCTTTAATCTCTGCAGTCATTTCATCAGCTTTTTTCTTTCCATCCTGACACTCTGGAGAATTTTCATCAACTGTGATTCCCAGTTCATGTGCAAAATCAGCCATCTGCTCTACAGACATATTTTTCTCTGGTTTAATTACATCACTGACTCTTTTCCTCAGTAGTTAACAAAATCTGCATCATTTGTTTGTTTTGTCTTTATTAGAATGTTTTTGTTTGTCAAAGCCAGACTTGTTGCCAATTTTTCAACAGAATCAACTCTGAAGTTTTTGCTCTTTTGGTTTCCTACTAAAAAAATCTTTGCTTTGTGGTTTTTGTTCATCAGCAGTTTGCAGTCAGAGTCCAGCTGGTCAAAGAAAACAAAAACTGCAGCAGATGTCTGACACAAAAAGGAGAATTGAGTTTCAAATGAAGCAATGTCTCCACGAAGGTTAGCTATAGCAACTGGTTCACTGAAGATGTCCATGTTTTTGTTTCCACAGGGAAGGTACCAGGTCAGTTCAGTCAGTCCATTGGATATTCTTCTCTCAATGTCTCCACACTCCATGTCACGGTGAACAAAGGTGTCATGGTATTGCTCAGAGTTACTCAGAAGTTTATTGAGGATCTCTGATTTGGACAGAGAGCACTCACCCAGTCTCACAAATGAGATCATTGGAAGTTCAGAAAGAACTATTCTTTCTTCCATGAAGCCTTTTGATTCTGCAAGATCTGAAGGTCTGTACTTCTTAACAATGTCTCTCATGGCCCACAGCATGAGGGCACTGCTGTGTATCACAGTTAGGAAGCAGCAGAGGAACAGAGAACTGACACATGGACATTTTTAGAGCCAGTTCTTGCTGAAAAACCCATCAGAACACAGGAAGAGAGCAGTGATTAAATCAAGAGGATTTAGAAAATCATTCACATTTGAATTGGCAAGAAGATCATCCAAATTTAAATCATCAGATTCTAATTCATCGTCTTGGTTTGACATGAAAACTGATTTATCTTTCTTGCTGTTACATTCACCATCATCAGTTTCTTTAAACAATACCATGAAAGATCAGATTTACATTTTGGAGGCTCATCATTGATGGTTTTCTCATTGATCCCAAGTATTTTACTGAGTGACAGTTTATCCCTGTAGAACTGGTCCAATCCCAGATCCTCCAGAAGCATCTTCAGGATGGTTCCTGTTTAAAATGAAGACAAATATCTTACTTTTGTCAATAACCTTAAGTCACAAATAATGGTTGTCTTTTAACTGTTAATGTCAATAATTAAATTTTTTCAGTAAGTCCAAAAGGTCCATGATATGCCCTGCAAAATATATATATACCTAATTACTTAAACTTAAAAAAAGAAAATTACAACCACAACTTTTCACGTATTTCACTGAGATTTTATGAGACAAACAACATAAAATAATTCTGAAGTAGAACTAATATAATAAATGTTTTTCAAATGATTCCTAAATTCATATCGTAATTCATATTAATAGGCCCGGTGGCCTTGTGGGGCACTGGTTGCCCACAGAGTCAGCTATGTCCTCCCCTGAACTGGAATCTCTTTATTTTTAATTTTCTATTTCTATTTTTTCTGTCTTGATTTGACACATTAGGGCTCCTACACATTTTTCAGCCATTACAACTATCTAATCAATAGTTAACATATCGCAATGTGTTGTTCCATAATGACACCGATGCGGCAGTGACGGCGACACTGCTGAGCTGTGCAAGTGTGTTAGAATCATGGCAGCAAACCAGCTAAAGCCAGAGAACTTTGCACAGGTTTCCCCCCAAAATAACCATGAATAGTTCAGTAATGCTGTTGGATGCAGATGTTAGATAAATGATGACTTGCTAATGCAAATACATCATGTTAAGCTTGTTAACAAGTTTTTCCTACTAATTTTCAAAAGTGGCTAGTAGTGGTTACATTTACTTGATTAACTTTCTGAGATAAAAAAGAGTAATAATAAGAGTAGTTTTACTGCACTGTACTTTTCATTTTTACTTCAAATTCAAAAATACTATTAACCTTGAAGGAAAATTAATGTTGTAGAAACTCATTAATTCAGATTCATCTAAGAGTTTTTGTGATGGCTGTTGGCAGGAAAGAGTTTCTGCAACGGTCTGTGCTGCACTAAATCTGCCTTCCCAAGACAGTCTGATGAAGAGGATAGTCAGGATTGTCCATAATTTTCTTGATTTTATCTAGAATCCTTCTTTGCATAATCATTTCTAGAGGTTGTACAGCCATTAAATCTTCACTCTCTCTGCTTTCTTAGCTTTTGCATTATGGGTTACTTTGATCGCACATTTGAACACTTTCACATTTAGCTTTCACTCACACACCATGCAAAGCTGATTTCACTGATTCTCAAAATTCATATTAGAAACTTTAAGGTTATTTTTTTCTGAATTTTTTTTTCAGATCCTCTTAAACATGGTGTGAGTTTCTTCTTATGAACTTTGAACCCGGTCATAACAGAATTGTGGTGTGATTTTATATTCAGCCCCTGATTTTATGTTTTATAGAAGCATCTTTTGCTTCCTTCTCTGGTTTCCGTTCATCCAGAGTTGATCTAATATTTCAGTAAACATTTCTCTCGCACACACTCAGCATGGCAGCCTATATCTTATTTTTCACTGAGAATAAATAATGATACCTGCAAGGAATTAAAGTATTTTGTGAATATTTAGTTGACTCCTTTTTATTTTTCCTACTTCACTCAGGATGTGCAATATTTCCATACTGACTGGACAGCCTGCCATATGGAAGACCAAAACTGACATAATAAAAAATAGAAGTAGATATTTTGTTTTGTCTTTTCCTTGTACAAGCCCTCCTTCTTTGTCATTGCCTCCTGTCCTTTTCTGCTTTCTGTGTGCATCTTTATGTTAATGAGGAGAGCTGCCATCCAGCTCTTCTACTATTGGCCAATAGAGCTTTGGAACCAACGTCACTGCGTAAGAATTGTGGGGCGTTTACATTTCGTGCAGTTGCTTGGTGCCATCTTTACAGGCCACAAACCAAAACAAACTTTATCAAGGTGTTTTTATTGTGTTACCAACTGCAGTGAAGTTAGTTTCGAGTTGGACATTCCAATATCTGAGGAGTAAGCGACGTTTAGCTTAAGGTTGATCCGATTTATGAACGATAATTTCGGCCAGCCGTTCTCAAGCTCCCTCCTCAAGTGCTCAGAGGTTCACTTAGGGACTGTCAACAAATTTCCGAATCAAATATTCCTGTCACACAAATGTTAGTAACTGCCATGCCTTGTGACCAACTGATGGGTTTTTGAAATAAAATTCAAATATAAATACTTAGGACTGTAGGATTCTATGTCTGTTCCTAAAAGACACTGTTCCTGTGTCTTTTAGTGATGTTTGCAAAGTAGGAAGCGTGCTGAATTTGGAGACAGATGACCTGGAGACAAAAGCTGTCCTGACAGGAGGAGCAGAAAGAGAAGGTATCAAAGACTAAGGTCAAAGTTTTATGACCTGGAGGGACACAAGAGCTGAAGTTTTATGACTCAGAGAGACACAGGATCTTGAGAACAACGCCTCAGCAGCAGTATAAAGACTGGATGGCACCATTGTTTGAGTAGAGACTTGCGACTGACTCAATATTGGGAGCTGTGTTTCCACCTGCCCTTCCTATCTCTGGACAGCTGAACATGAAGGCTGGCAGAACATGGTTCACAGACAGATAAAGAAGGTGTCTGAGATCTACTTTCTCCGTTCCTTCGAGTGTATTGCATCTTCAATCATCTTTCTCTCTTCCTTTCCAGAGTGTTACAGAATGTCTCGGTGATTTAAACCTGACACCAACTGAGACAAAAAAGTGGTAATTCATGCTTTTACATGAGATATTAAAATGTCAAGTCGTATTCAAAATTTTGAATCATTTTGATATTAAATATGTTTTCTTCAATAGCTTCCATATTGTGTGCCACATTGACTAGAAATCAGTGTGTAATTGTTCTACTAAACTGTGTATATGAGGCACATGCATTTCTATTCCATTTAACTCTTTTTTTTGTCACCTATTTTTTTAGTTTAAATTTTGTATTTCTCCTCAATAGCTTCTAGGTCATGTGACCAATTGAGTCAAAATCAGGGAGAAATTGTTCTACTAAACTGGAGATTTTGATGTAACCAAATTTTTATTCGATTTGACCTTTTTATTCCGTCGATACACACCTCTACATTACCATGTCACCAGGTGACTCTGAGTCTGTCCAGTCACTGAATAAATGCTTAGAATAGATAAATGTGTGGATGAGCCAAAACCTTCTGCAGTTGAACAGAAACAAAACTGAAGTTATTATCTTTGTGCCTAAAGGAACAATCTAGAGTTATAGATCTGGAGTCAATGCACAGCATCAGTTATCTTAACTAAAACCTAGTGATCAGGCCCGAAACTTGGGTGTAGTGATGAGCTCTGACCTGAACTTTTAGAGACACATTAAGACAGTCACAAAGTCGGCCTTCTATCAGCTTAAGAACATTTCATTAGAAGACTAATGTCTCAGCAAGATTTACCGGTCGATCTACGTTCTTACCCTCATCTATGGTCATGAGCTTTGGGTCATGACCGAAAGAACGAGATCTCGGATACAAGAGGCCGAAATGGGTTTCCTCCGTAGGGTGGCTGGGCTCTCCCTTAGAGATGGGGTGAGAAGCTCTGTCATCCGGGAGGGACTCAGAGAAGAGCTGCTGCTCCTCCACATCGAGAGGAGCCAGTTGAGGTGGCTCGGGCATCTCCTGGACGCCTCCCTGGTGAGGTGGTTCGGGCACGTCCCATCGGGAGGAGGCCCCGGGGAAGACCCAGGACACGCTGGAGGGACTATGTCTCCCAGCTGGCCTGGGAGCGCCTTGGGATTCCCCCGGAGGAGCTAGAAGAAGTGGCTGGGGAGAGGGGAGTCTGGGGCTCCCTCTTAAGCTGCTACCCTGCAACCCGACCCGGATAAGCGGCAGACGATGGATGGATATGATTTGACATTTTAATAGAGAGCAGTGTGTCTCATGTAAAAGCATGAATCACCACTTTTTTGTATCAGTTGGCCACAAGGCAAGGCAAGGCATTTTGTTTGACAGGAGTGTTTGGTATGGAAATTTGTTGACAGTCCCTGTTGACTGTTCCCATCACACATACATGATCTGTATACAATCTTTATATAATCTGTAAATCTAATTTGCCATTATTTACCCTGTATTATAAAACAACTAATATATATACAATCCATTCTTTATATTCCTGTGTATTCTGTGTAATCTTTGTATACTATGTACATAGCTCTCATATTTATATTTATACAAAACATTTTATGGCCGAAATTAGCGTTCATAAAACCTTGAGCTAAACACCACTTGCTCCTTGGATATTGGAATATCCAATATCCAATTGGAAACTAACTTCACTGAGGTCAGTAACACAATAAACACCTAGATGAAGTTTATTTTGGTCTGTGGCCTGTAAAAATGGCACTGAGCAACTGCGTGAGACGTAAACGCCCCACAACGTCCTATGCAGTGACGTTAGTTCCAAAGCTCTATTGGAGCTGGACATAAAAGGTAGCTCTCCTCATTAACATAAAGATGCACACAGAGAAGCAGAAAAAGGACAGGAGGCAATGACAAAAGAAGGAGAGCTTGTTAGACAAAACAAAATATCTACTTTTCTTGACAAAAACGCATGTTTAGGGGAAATGAAAAAGAAAATATATATATTTCTTGACGGAACTCAGGGGTGGTTCTAGGATCTGACCTTTAGGGGTGTTTAGCGCCCAGCAGCACCAAGAGAAGTTAATTGTTGGTGCATTTTTCTAAACATCACTACTTTTTTACATACGTTCACATAAGAAATTTAATAGTTTTGTTCAACTAAAACTGTTAACAACTACATACAGATCTGGAAGAAATGAAGAGACCACTGCACTGCACATTGAAAACCTCCTGGTTATTCCACCAAATATTGATTTCTGAC